TATAAAATTTTCACCCCCCTTGCCCCTATTTATAGGCATCCTGGGGTCCCCGGAACGGCCCGTATTGGATTCGAAACTGCCCGTTCCGGATCCTTCGAACATAGGCAAATTTAGCAACTGGAACGGCCTGTTCCAAAATCGGAACAGCATGTTCCCAAAAAGCAGAGCAGCCCGTTTCAAAAAGCAGAACGCCCCGTTCTGAAGTTCACGTTAACACTGATTAACCATAGTTGGAACGGCCCGTTTCCAGCTAAGGTCTTTAGGCAATTTCATAACCTTGGAACGGCCTGTTTCCCTTTGGGAACGGCCCGTTCTGGAAATACAAAAATGGGTCCTTTTCTTCTTTGGAACGGCCCGTTCCACTTTTGGAACGGCCCGTTCTGATCCCTCAAAACAACTTATTTTCATTATCTGGAACGGCCCGTTCCACTTTTGGAACAGCCCGTTCCAGCCTAAAAAATAGAATTTATAAAAATTTTCATAAATAATTTTAAATTAATGCAAACCTCCATAAAACCCCTTTAATTAATAAATAATAATCAACAAGAAAATTCAGGGTGTTACATCAACACTCCATTAATCTTTAATCGTTGATGGTAGTATTCTTTCTCACTTTTCTACCGATATTTCTATTCCTTCTTTGTTTTCCTCATATATGATCTTCATGACTTGCAAATTTAGGACACAACACAAATTCCCATGTTTCTTCCTAACTCGTAATAGGTGGTGGTATTCTTTATTGTTTCTCCGCTCTTGTGAATATTACAAAACGCTAGCAATTCTAGAATGAATATATATATAGAGAGAGAGGAGTGAGCCACTTATTTTAAAAGTAAATCTTGATGTAGACTTACTTCACACAATAACTCATATTTTATATCAAATTTTAATAATCTAGTCGTTGAACTAAAATTTTTAATGTATTGATTAAGTCTGCAAGTTTTTTTTTTATAAAAAAAATTAAAGATCATATGATACTTCATTATATAAGTTTAAATCTACATACAAAATATTTTTGTAATTATCCATCAATTTGAATTAATGAAACAAAATATTAAATATTTTTAAATTTTTAAATTTTTTTTACAAATTTGATATATACATTAAAAACTTTTAATTTAATGGTTAGTTCATCGTAAAACATGAGTATTTAAGTGGAGTAATTGGATTCTTCATCAGATATATATATATATATATATATATATATATGTGTGTGTGTGTGTGTGTGATAAAAATAAAAAAAGATTACAAATATGACCGTAATTAATATCACAACTAAGTTGTCATACTTCTATCATTCCAACTCCTTCCCTCCAATCACTAAAATATTATTATTTATTACAAAAAATGTTACATGCAATAATATTAATATACAAAAACTGTCATTATAGTACATTGCATGCACGTAGGTATAAATTTCTTTGATACCTAGACACAATTTTACTATTAAATTTAAATAAGATTCAAAAATATATATTTGTGTCAATATATATTAATTGTGTGTCACTATAGCCTTCACCTACACTTTTTTAACAATGTACCAATATATATTATATTTATAATATAAGTAAAAGTAATTTTAAGTGACAAATATTGGTAAGACTATAATCTTCATCTACACTTTTTTATCGTTTATTTTATTTTACATTATCATTTTTCAATTATTGTAGGTGTTCTACATTATATTATAATTGTAGTAACATTTTTTTAAAATTTTAGTTTTACTTTTATTAAGGGTTTAGTATCATTTTATTTTTTATATTATTTAATTTTTTTATTATATATATATATATATATTATAAATTCTAATCAAAACTTTAATTAATATTTTAGATATATTCATGATATTATATATATATATATATATATATATATTATAATGTTAAAACATAATTATTTTAAACATATTGTATTATTAATATAGTAGATAAATTGCAAATTTTATTTCGTAGATTGATTTAAAAAAATGTTACAATTCAAAACTAAATTGATTTTAATATAATATAAAATAGGTTAAATTACACCTTTAATTTTTTTAATCTTATTTCTTATATTCATTTTGATTCTTTATTTATTAAAATATTCATTATGATCCTTTATCTTTTATATTTAGTTTAATTTGGTCCTTTTAAAACAATGATTATTTTCAATTTTGAGACATGATTTTGAATAACTTTTGATTGATTTGAGACATGAAACTTGTAATATTAAATTCACCTATATGAAAATTATAAAACTAAATTAACATTAGAATTTAAAAAGGGTTATAAACATAGAAAAAATCATGTGCAAAAATTTATCTCACAAATAACTAGAAAATAATGTGAAATTAGATTTTTGAATATTTCAATTACTTTTTAAACTTATTTTTATATGATTTTTATCATGATATATTTTAATTTGAATTGCATTGATTTTCAATAGTTTTCATGTAATTGAATCTAACAATAAGTTTTAAGTTTTAAATTAATAAAAAAAACATTAAAATCATATCTCAAAAGTGAAATTAATCATTTCAAAGGATCAAATTGACTCCAAATTAAGAAATAAAGTATGAAAATGAATATTTTAAAAGATAAAAGATTAAAATAAATTTTATAAATAAAATAAAAGGCCAAAAATATAATGTAACCTATAAAATAAAACAATTTATTATAAAATTAGTTATTTTATAATATATATATATATATATGGAAATAGTTATTTATTAGTTACAGTAAAATAATATTATAATTAATAGTTAATGTATGATAAATTTTATTAAAATACTAATAAAATAGTGATTAATACTTATAAGAAAATAATCATATAAATTATAATTTTCAACCAAATATAAAGTAAATGAAAATAATGCTAATAATGAATATAAACACTATTAAAAATCCTAAAGAATAAAAAAATAATATTATACCAATCCTATAACTTCAAGAAAAATAAAAAATATTACTACAATGATAATATATCAATAGCATTAATAAAATAAAAATATAAAAGTAGATTAATACTATATGTTAAAAAATAAAAATAAAAATGACAAAAATGATAATATATATGAATAATCTAAATAAATAGTACAAAATAATAATAGAACTAAATATAATAATAAAAAAATAAAAGCATCTATATCCATATGTGTGTGTAATATATTTATTTTATGTTGTTTAATTAAAATATAAGAAATTAAAATAATTTAGAAATTAACTTAAATATATTTTTAGTCCTTTAAATTTAAAACTAATTTTTTTAGTTTTGTAATCTTTAAAAATCTTAATTTAGATTCTCATACCATCAATAATATATTCAAAAATGACAGATTAACATAGTTATGCACTAAAATATGTATATATAATTTTGGATTAATATAAAATTTTGTATATATATAATTCAAGTGTAATGAACTGCTAGTTTAATTTTTTAAAACTGAACTTAAAATATAATTTAGATTAATTTTAATAAAAAATAGTTCATTTTTTAAAGTATAGTTTAGTTTAATTAATCTACTAAGAAAAAGCATGTCCTGTGCCATCAAATTCTAAAACACGCATGCTCCATAAACCAATCATCTCTTAGATCACCGTAGTAATTTGGTGCCGAACAAGTAACTCCAATTGGAGTATAACAACTCAATATATATATTAATATTCAGAAAAGAACAAAGCAGACAATGCATACCAACATTATTATTAAGGATTAACCAACCTCTTCAGAGAATGGCAGGAAATCCAAAATGCAAGGATGCAGTTATCTCACCTTCGATACTAATACATGAAAATGTGCAAAATTGTTAACTGTCTTTTATTTATGAATTGCATTCAACTTTTGTTACTCTTTTTAAAAAAATTATAAAGAAAGTAAAAGTTACACCGGTGTCGTTTGAACCCTCCTCATATATATATATATATATATATGATAATTTAACTCTAATTAGGAAGAATTAAGTTTATATTAAAAGATAGAAGAGTAGTAGAAAATTAATGATGATTTCCCTCCTTTTTTGCAGAAAATTCAGGAAGACAAAATTCCACAGTCATAGCTATGGTTCTAGAGCTATAGTTATGAAAATCTAGGAAGAAATCAGAAGGTTAGAAAGTTGCAGCTATGGCTGTGGTTCTACAGCTATAGCTGTGGAAATCTAGAATGCAAATTTAAGGATCCAGAGACTTGATTAAAGAATTTCAAATTTTTTGAAGTGAAATGTTTTGTTTGGAAGAAGAATTTACAAGAATTTAAAATTTAAGCATTTGTGAAATTTTTTAAAATAGTAGAATTTTAAATTAAATTCTTCCAAAAAAAAATAAAAATTAAATATTATCTAATATTAATTTTAAAATTATTAAATATTTTTTAAAAATAGCTTATATTTATTTTTATAAAATTTAATTTAAAAATCTCAATATATGAATATATTTTTAAAATCAATTTTACCTTGGTGAAATTAAATTACTATATATATCCAAACTAACAATTTAAATTTTAAGAAATTTGAATTGACTTATCCAAACAAAATATTTTAAGAATGATGAAAATTAAAATCAAATTAATTTAAATACCAAGAATTTAAAATTTCTTATCTAAATACACCATTAATTTTTTTATTTTAAAAACATTAAAATTTGATCATTCCATTAAATTAACATCTATTAATTATTAGATTTTAACTTTTAACATTTACTTATACTTAAGTGATCTCACATTTAACAACATGATATTTGAAGATAAGAAAAATTATTAAAAAAATATACATAAGATTTATTAACTTGTTAAAATAAATACAATCAAAAAAATTTACATCTTATTTTTTTATTTTTATCTTTATATATCAAATAAAAAAAATAATACTATTTAATTGGAAACAAATCGTTAAATTTAACATTAAAATTTAACAATCAATATACATCAAATAACAGTAGAATCAAAATTTTAAATTTATAAAAATATGATAATTAAATATCTATATTTTAAATTAGGATAACCAAAATTGTGGATTAACAAATAGAAAATTCAAAAGTGTAATTTAATTTATATTATAAGTGAATTTTTCTGTATATATCGCATAAACATAAGTCAAACTTGTAAGCGCAACACATCTTTATTGATATTGAATAACTGTTTAGAGGATAGACAACTGACCATCGATGTGCAATTCTGTAATAGAAATTCAGCTATCAGCTGATGTAAACTGGTAAGAGGCATAAGAGAGAGAACCCAATTCAATACCGCTATGGATGAGTTTAGCTTTTGAATTTTGACCAGCAGCACCAATAGCAACATGCAATGGATAAAGGTGATCTGGCCAGGGATGAGCCTGTTTTGCATGTGGTGCTTTCTGTTCATAATGATTTACATCTTCATATCTACAAAAGCAATTCATGAAGAGTCAAACTCTACTACATTCAATGGCTATAGTTTTCCAATGTCATACAGTATCTTGGTAATTAGATCCATGCATATAACATCCATAATAAGATCAATTATGCATTAAGCAAATTTCAACTTGAATTTGATACTAATTATACAGTATCTTGGAAAGACATTTGTTAATCCTTATATATGAATCTCAATATAATTCTAGAGATTAATTATTAACATTACCATAAGACATACACCTTGATTTACCAAACAAAAAAATTGAAGATGAAAACAGGAAAAGGGTACCTTCCTTGAAGAAGAGCATCTTTCAACCAATTATCAAATTCTAAAGCCCAGGGAGCAACAGTGGAGTGAGGATTAAGTGCTCTCAAGTTGTGAACAGCACTTCCAGAGCCCATAATCAATACACCTTCATCTTTAAGAGGAGCCAATGCCTTCCCTATGTTATAATGATGAGTTCCATCTTTGTTTGATTGAACAGATAACTGACAAACTGGGATGTCAGCTTGTGGGTACATCAAAAAGAGAGGAACCCAAGCACCATGGTCAAGCCCTCGATTTCTATCTTCATCAACTCGCCCAAAACCGGATTTCTTGAGTAGTTCCTTCACCCTCCTTGCCAATTTTGGAGCTCCAGGTGCAGGATATTTAAGCTATAGTAGAAGAAGTATGTAATATTGTAAGAGATTTCTACATAAATCAACCTAACAACATCACCATGAATAGTCTTGTCCCAGGTCAAATGGAAAAACAGCATTTTGGCAAGTTTTGTTTTATGAACAAAATAGAATAAAGTGGTGGCACAAACATTACTATGAACAAAATAGAATAGAAGTTTTGTTTTTGATCCTTTCAAGTATAAAGTGGTGGCACAATATTACTCATGGACGAGAATTTTACATAGTATTTGGCCACAGAGATGATTAAGAAAATTAATCTGCTTTCAAAAAACTGAAAAATCTAACAACATAATTAATATAATAGTTACTCATGGCAAGCATGCATATTATCATGTATAGGTCCTCAAGAAATATAACATGGTGAATAGGGGTAATGAAAATTTAAAGGTGCAGTTGGTGGAAACCTGGTACATTTCTCTGGGGAACCCATAGAAATCGTGGATGGTATCATTGATGGAGTCAACAACGTTGACCGTGGGAATCTTGGTGTCCCAATGACCAGAAATGATGAGAATTGAAGTGGGTGTTTGAGGAAACACGTTCTTCTTCCATGACATAAGAAACTGCCTAGCATCAATGGAGTCATCTACGGACAAAGTGGGTGATCCATGAGATATATAGAATGTGTCCTTCAACGCCATGTATCTAGTAACGAATCTTTTTTTCTGTGTTGATATTCTCTCTCTTTGCTTTTGATCAACTTTTGTTAGAGACGCAAAAAAATTTTCAATAGCAATTCAATTTTTGTGTGTATGTATATAGACACAAAAAAAGTGAGAGAGAATGAAGGGGAGACACTCAAATTGGAAACAAACTAACATACAAAATATCAGAAAATTAGACATTTCAACGACTTCTCTGAACGATGATGGAGATTACTTCAATCGGGTGTATAGTTTATTTTTTTTATTAATCGAAATTAAAATAACAACATGAATTTAAGATCCTATCACTAGTACAAAATGGGTAATTTACGTCGATTATTTTGAAGTTTTTACGTCATAAAAGGGTCCGACGTTAATGTGGGAGACGTAAATTTACGTCGTCTATCACAACCAACGTAAATTTACGTCGGTCATTCCTTAGAACCGACGTAAAAAAGGGTGTAAAACAAAAAAAAAACACTAAAATATTTACGTCGAACTATACTATGTCTGACGTAAATTTAGGTTTTTTTTTAATTTTTATTATTTTTTGATACACCTAAAACCTGCATACAATCCAAAATACAAAACCTAACCCAGACAATCCAGAAAACAAATTCAAATATAATTTATATTTCAAAATTGGATGACAAAAATAAAATAATATATAAATCTTAAAAAACATAAATTAAGATAATGTAAATCATATTATCCTATAAAAGCTATAGAACATATGCAACTAGAAACATAATATCCAACTAACTAAATTTAGAAATCTAACTATTATATACTTTGAAGAAAAAAAGTTGTCCATTATTCTCTTATCTTGATGATTTCATCTTCGGGCAATGGAGATAGATCTTCAAAGACCTGAAACATTAATTTAAGTGTCATTAATATGCAATTTTAATTATCATAAAGGTAAATATACTTAAATAAATTTTTGATATGAATTACCTGCCCCAAAGAATTAGTAATACCCTCAAAAACTATGACTCTCATCTAATACATGATGTAATAGTCACATTCAAACGAGTCTTGTTGCTTATTACACTAAAATGAGAAACAAATAACTATTATTTCAAAAGTCGATAAATTCAAATATTATTGCCTCTATTGATTAATTTGCTAACCTTAGGGTATATGAATTGCAATGTCTTTGATCTAGCTCTACCACTTAAAATATTAACTCTAGACACGATTCTAATTAATTGAAATAAAAATAGATGTTAGCCAATATATATAGTTACGGTTTTAAAACATAATGAAAAATAGATTTCGTGGCTTGATTTTCGATGTAGTGAACAAAACCACACCACGGTGTATTCCTTAGGAATGATTATCATTAACTGTCAATGGGACCTACATTGTATGACAAACAAATTAGTTATAAAATTACCATGATTAAAAAACCAATTAAAAAACTAACCCTTCAATGTATGGAGCCATGTATATATGTCTTCCTGATTCACTCATCCATGTTTGCATATATTGTTGGATCGGACCTAAGTGTTTCCTGATTTTTGGATGGATTGAGGCTCAATAAATCCATATACATGTGCTTGTGCTTGCTCCGCACTCAATTTGTCCATGTACCTAACATAATTAATTATTATAAGTTAAATGTAATTATTGTAATTTTAGACTCATAAAAGAAAATATCACTTACATGGCCCACAGTTGTATGATAGATATATTTAACATGGAGTTTCCCCTAACAATCTCTAATGCATCGGGCAGGGATACGTATAGTGGAACATTAGAGCTATCAACTCCAAAAACTCTAATGTCTCACTATAATTGAATTGGTTTCTTTTTTAATCGTGGTAATATGGTTAGAAGCCTATATATGGGATCATCCTCAGCTTCTACGATATCAGCATCATCAATAACAGGTTCTCTCATGACTTCCTTACCACGATTGATAAAATCATAAAGAAAGAATCAAAATTAGTTAAATAATAATAGAATTATAAGAATATAAAAGAACAATAATAGAATTACCTTTGCCTGTGCTAAAAGCGGCATCACCAAATGTTTTGGCCAAGCTAAGAATGTGTCGGTTGCCTGCCCCACTAGTTGAACCTCTATATTGGGAAAAGGCACTGGAGCAGCAAAATCTTGAACTTGGTCAACCACAACCCATGTCCAATCTGGCTCTAGAGGGACACCATGGATGGTTGAGCCACCCTTAAATACTCAACCAATAGCCACTAACCGTGGGGGGTCATTCTCAACATATAACTCACACTGGTTTGGTACATCAGTGTGAGTCTGTTCCCCTGAGGGATCTAGAGTAGCACAACTCCCTTTAGTGTTGACTCGAACACCATCATGAGCAACTACAGTTTGTTGCTGAGAACGAGCCAAAAGCTCAAACTTCTTTTCAAACTCTTGTCGAATGTTGTTCAATTTCTCTTCAAACTGCATCTCCATTCTCTGCATAGCCTCCTGACTGCAAGAGTCAACAGTACTACTCCTCGATGGTGGTGCACCAAAGTAATCTTGGTGACTCCAAAAACCACCAATACCACACACACGCCCTGCGTGCTCTGGCCTTCCAATGGCCGTTGTGAGTATATCATCCCGACCATGGGGAACAAATAATGAGCCCTGGGTGGTCTGCTCAACTAAACCCTCTTGTAACATATTAACAATAAGTATACCCTAAACTACACTTATAAATTGAATGAGTTGAAATTAAGAGTCTAAGTTTGTATATTTTTACTTACTATTTTATCAGCAATGACCCTTGCAGACTCAGAAGTCATTTGCCTATCTGATTTTGTTCGAGCTGCTATCCACATCTCATAGCGGGGAGGTGAATCCACAAGGTCAGCAGACTCAACCCCTGATGCCTCTGCCCTTGCCTTCATCAATTTCTTTTTTTTTTAATTCATATCCCCCTCTTGACAATAAATGGGGTGCATCATTCTTGCTCTGTCGTTTTTAGGCATCTACTCTTTTGGCCTGCAATAATACAAATAAGAAAATTAGATTAATTAAAATATATCTTAAGTATTTGTGTCAATGTAAGAATTATCAATAACTAACCTGCCAAGAAGGGTCCAATCGAGTGGCACGAAATTGCATCCACTCCTCATCAGTAATCTGGTACTTTAGAGAGGGAGTCTCATTTTGTCGCTCTCCAAATACATACTCCCGTGTCAAGAAAGTCTTGAAGTCTCTCCACCTGGTGGCAAGGGCAGATAACATCTTCCTCCTCATGACCTCAGTGTTGGGAATGTCAAAATTTTTGCTATCAAAATAACAACAAATAATAAATAACGTATTTAAGTTATATAATATTGTAGGGATGTGCAAGTATATACCTGAATATCCTGCCACATGCATGAGGTTCTTGTCAGCCTCCTCAACGTCATCTCATTATGGAATGATAATAGAAACATGACGTCGAGCTAAGACTCCCAAATAGGTCCTAAATTTTGCAGCATTTGGGCTTGACGCCTTGCCAGAACGAGGATCCACCTCAACTGGTGTCCTCTCCTTGGCAATGCGTCCAGATGTCAACCCAGATAATCGAGTGACAGATCTACCTTCCCTCCTTCCACTGCTAGACCCCAAATCTGCCATAATCCTGAAAAAATAAATCTCTCATTAAAACAACGAATATAAATAGGTGATCACGTATTTCCCCAACTTCCTGACATATCTGATTCAAACAACGAACACATGGACAATAATATGTCCCTTTGATGGGTTTTCCATTTTCTCTTGCAAATTGCAATAACTCTTCAACTCCATTTCTGTACTCTTGACTAATGCGACGTGCATGCATCCAACTTCGATTCATTATCTATATATTAACACAAATTAACTATTGACTTAGTTATTCATAATTATTCTAACCTAAACTACAACCCTAAAAAATCGATATTAATTTTGGATAAAATCGATAAATACTTCTACTAATACGATGCTAAACTAAAGGTTAATGCCTAATTTGGTCCCTCTTAATAATTAAATTCTCCTTATTTAATGCATCTGGAATGGCCCGTTCTGAAACCAGAACGGGCCGTTCCAAATGGACAAATAACACAAACTTAATGTGTCTGGAACGGGCCGTTCTTAAACCAGAACGGTCTGTTCCAGCTGCATTATTTTTGTGTTAATTGTTCATCTGGAACAACCCATTAGAGTTTCAGAATGGCCCGTTCTAGATGAACAATTAACAAACAATAACTTCAAGTAGAATGACTCATTCTGGTTGCAGAACAGGCCGTTCCAGATGAACAATTAACACAAAAGCTAATGCAGAGAAGAGAACTAAGTTGAAGCTAACCTCAAACGTGCAGGCCCAATGCAAAACAACTTAGAAAGGTGCAAGAAAACTAAGGTGTGCAGAGAAGAGAACTAAGTTGTTGATGACAAGTAAACTAAGGCGCACGGGAAGAGAACGAAAATGTTGCTGATATAAATAATATTTTACGTCGGATTAGGTATGGTCCAACATAAAATATATAATCTACGTCGGCCTTGTATTGTGTCCGATGTAGATTGTATAATTTACGTCGGACCATACCTAGTCCGACGTAAAAGAGTCCACTGTTATTTACAAAAATGTCACCGCATCTTTTTTATGTCGTATTTTGGTATGTTTGACGTAAAAGAGGTGACGTAGTAACCTTATTTTCCACAAGTGTATGTATAATTTATGTTTTTTTAATTAATCAAAATTAGAACAACAACATATATAGATCTTATAAATTTATAATTACATTTTTTTTATTAATCAAAACCTAAAACCGTACACATATTAGTCTAACCTCCAACCTCCAATCCTACTGATTCAGTTTTAGTAGTTTTGATTTAAAGGATTGCAGCTCTTTTACACAACTGATATTTTAGGATGGGCAAATGTTTATTATATATTCCAGTGTAAAAAAATGTGTATTTTATGTAAAAATAAAAAATAAAAATAATTAATATTAAATGTGTTAGTATTTAAAAATTAGAAAGTGTGAGATAATTATTTAAGGGTGTGAGAGTTATTTGAAAATTTAATTTACGAAGAAAAGAAAAATAAAACCAAATAAAGAAAAACTTAAATATATT